AAAAAAAAAAAGGCTCAGCCTAATAGAGACTCTGGTGGGGGCCCAGTGGGAGGTGGAGGGTGACAGGGATACTTCAGAGTCACTAGAACAGGACCGATTATCTCAGCATCTAATGACAGAGACTGAGGTCAGGAGATTCCTCTGTAATGTGAAGTTTGTGCAGAGGAGGAAGATGACTTTTTGATCTTCTTTAGGCTTGGACATAATGAGGGTGTGTGTGTGTGTGTGTGTGTGTACAAGTGTGTGTGTGTGCGTGCGTGCAAGACAGGAAGAACTTGTCAGTTATGTATCTGTTGCCTTCATGAGAATGATCTTCATAAATCCTGAAGCTGTGAACCATCCTAAGTGAAATACATCAAGGCACTTGCCATCCTTAGGTGAGAGAAAACCTGAGGCGTGAAATGGTAAGATGGTTTTCTCGTTAAATCTGAGAGTTGAAACATACCTGCGAAGTCATCTAATCTGGCTGACTACTCCAGACCGCTGTTCTTGTACAGACACTTACAGGGGTGGGTAGCTCACCCCTTCACCATGCAGCCCACCCCATTTGGAGGCAACTCCCTTGGTTAGAAGGTCTGACCTCCTAGTGAATGGAAATCTTCCTTGAAATTTGTAGACCTTGGTTCTGGCCCTGCCCTTTAGAGAAATAAAAACTTATTATGAGTCTTCTTTCACGTGATAGCTCTTCAAATATGTATTTTTTAAACAACTGTGATTCTTTGCCTCTGCCCACAGCCTACCCCCATGCCACTGCCATTCTCCCTACCAGAGAGCATTCTCGTCCAACTCTACATTCCAAATCAGGCCCATCCTTTAGACCAGTTCAGGTGCCTCTTTTTCCCAGTGTCCAAGATGAAAACCATTCTTTCCCTCCTTTGTACTGGTTCAGAGCTTTATAGTCTACCTTCCATTATAATTACTTTTATCCTGAAGAACTTTCCTGCTAGACTAGAAGCAAATGAAGAGCAGTATCTTTACTGCCCACAGTGCTTTGAGCACCAAGCATATAGTTGAGCTTTCCTCTGTTTGGAATATTCTCTTTCCAAATATCCACTTGGCCACTACTAGGAGTTTATCCAAAGGATACAGGAGTGCTGATGCATAGGGGCACATGTACCCCAATGTTTATAACAGCACTGTCAATAATAGCCAAATTATGGAAAAAGCCCAAATATCCATCAACTGATGAATGGCTAAAGAAGATGTGGTTTATATATACAATGGAATGCTACTTGGCAATGAGAAAGAATGAAATCGTGCCATTTGTAACAACATGGATGGAACTGGAGGGTATTATGCTAAGTGAAATAAGTCAGAGAAAGATATCCTATGTTTTCACTCATATGTGGAGTTTGAGAAACTTAACAGAAGACCAGGGGGGAGGGAAAGGGGGAAAAATAGTTTCAAACAGAGAGTGAGGCAAACCATAAGAGACTCTGAAATACAGAGAATAAATTGAGGGTTGAAGGGGGTGGGGGGAGGGGAAAATAGGTGATGGGTATTGAGGAGGGCACTTGTTCGAATGAGCACTGGGTGTTGTATGCAAGTTATGAATCATGGGAATCTACTCCCAAAACCAAGAGCACATTGTATACTCTGTATGTTAGTTAACTTGACAATAAATTATATTTAGAAAAAAATAAGTAACAGGATGCCTGAGTGGCTCAGTTGGTTAAGTGTCCGACTTTGGCTCAGGTCATGATCTCACGGTTTGTGGGTTTGAGCTGTGCTTTGGGATCTGTGCTGAAAGCTCAGAGCTTGGAGCCTGCTTCGGATTCTGTGTCTCCCTCTCTCTCTGCCCCTCCCCCACTTGTACTCTGTCTCTCAAAAATAAATAACAAAAACATTAACAAAAAAATTATTTTAAGAAAATGAATAAATGTTAAAAAAAATAAAAAAGTAAAGAATAAAATGACAAGAAATATGCAAAGTGAATGTGAAGGAAGCAGAACAAAACTTGAAAAGGAAGAGAAGTATGCCATATTCTTTGATAGAAGGACTTACCATGATAATAATGTCAAAACAAAGCCTTATGTATTTAAGGCCCGAAAATCTACATGCGTGCGCACACACACACACACACACACACACACACACACACGGCTTACTCCCTTATATTATTCAGACTCAGCTTATTGGAACAGCCTTCACTGACCACCCAGTTGAAAACATCACTACCTACTTCCTACCCAGCCCCGCTGCCTCTATCTCATTATGTTGCTTTACTTTTTCATTGTACCTATCACCACTTGATGAATTATGGACTTACTTATCTGTCTCTGCTCATTCAAATGAGAGCAAGTACTTTGCTTTGTTCATTGCTACATCCCTAGAGCCTAGAACAGTGCCTGGCAAAAGGCACATGACAGTTGCATGATAAATATTTAGTGAATGAGTGAACAGGGACACAACTGAAATCTCTTCTGCCAGGCTTGGCCCATATGAGTCATTCAAGCACTTACTGAATAAGTGATTACCTTCATACGCTGTATACATTCCATTTTTTTTAATGTTTATTTTTGAGAGAGAAAGCGAGAGCGAGCTGGGGAGGGGCAGAGAGGAAGACACAGAATCTGAGGCAGACTCCAGGCTCTGAGCTGTCAGCACAGAGCATAGTGTGGGGCTCAAACCCATGAACCACAAGATCATGACCTGAGCCAAAGTTGGAGGCTTAATGGACTGAGCCATCTACACACCCCAATTCCATTTTTTTTTTTTTTAATGATTTGGCCCAGGACCAAACCTGAACTTCTGACTGGCCTCACCAGGGCTGACTGGAGTGGTTCTGTCAGCTTCTTCCATCTTAAAGACAGTGCTGCAGGAGCAACTAGACTTAATTCCCAGCCCATCCTCTCTGTGGTCTCTGCTGGTGGCTGTGGTGAGGCCACACCAGGAAAGGCCTAGAAAATCACCACAGAGCTTCTTGCATGGAGGCACAGAATTTCCCAGGAATCAGGGACTTCTCTGTCTAGGAGAGAAACTGCAAAATCTTTGGGCTCTTGCTCTTCTCTGTCCTGGTATTCCCAGTTCCTCCTAGCCTATCTCCCACTTCTCTTTGCAGACCTCTCACCCCTCTTTAGCAGCTGTTGTCACACCTTGGGAGTACCCACCTTGCCCTCTCCCCAGGCCATTTGCCTAGTTGCTCAGCCTCCTTCCCCCAGGTTCTGAGGGTACAAAGAGGAGTAAGATACTCAGGACCCAATCCTTAGATCAGTACAGTGGTGGTGCTAGAGAGCTGCTCATTGAGATTCAACTCTGATGTCCACCACAAAACCTGCCCCCATCACCCCCATAACCCTCACAGTGTCCTTAGTTCTCTCTGCCTGGTGTACATAGTACTTTATACCAGTTATTTTGTGAGCTTGTCTTAATTTCTCTCTAAATCATACACTCCATAAGGTGAATTCTGACTATGACTATGTTCTCCCAACAGCTAAGATAATACTTATTATACCCTGTGGGTATTCAAGAAAGATGAGCTCAGCAAATGAGCACTCAGCACACTCTTAAGTGCTTCCGTATTACTTACTTATTACTCAGAATGAGTAAACTTGGGTCCAAGGAAAGGGTCTCTGGTGGCCTCAGCCCATGCTGATGCCCAGCTCTTTAGAAGAAGCTTACTGGGGGCTGCAGACCAACCCCAGGTTCCAGAACATCTGCCAGACCTTTGCGTATTTCCCATTTTCATTCTGGCAGTGCATCTTAAGGTCAAGATTATATTATCCATTTCTCAATTATAATCCCAGTTTCTCCCTTCCTCTTCCTCCTCCTCCTCCATAAGGCCACTTTTATTTTCATTTGAGAGAGAGAGAGAGAGAGAGAGAGAGAGAG